CCGGGCGGGAGGAGGGATTCGAGGAAGAGAGGAGGCGGGGTCTGTGGCTTCGGTGCGGGAGATCGGGAGTCGACCGGGAGAGGTGAGTCGGGCGGGAGGAGGGAGTCGAGGAAGAGAAGAAGCGAGGTCTGTGGCTTCGAGGCGGGAGATCGGGAGTCGGGCGGGAGAGGCGAGCCGGGTGGGAGGAGGGAGTCGAGGAAGAGAGGAAGCGGGGTCTGTGGCTTTCGGTGAGGGAGATCGGAAGTCGAGCAAAGGACTCAAGTGCAGAAGGAAGGAGTCGGGCGAGAGGAGGAAGAGGCGAGGTGTAGAGACGAGATCGAGCAGGCGTGCTTCGATGTGGAGGGAGGAGAGACGAGCGCGAGTAGAAGAGAGGAGCGAATCAGTCGTCAGTTTCTTCTGCGCGAGGAAGAGGGAGGCGTGATTGAGAAGAGAGCGGGAGAGCTGAATCGTGCCAAGAGGGGGAGCGGAGTCGAATTAATTAAAGGAGCTGGCTCGAGAGCCGTTACTTGGAGCGATTGGCGGGGGGTTGATGTATTCCATAACCAGGGGAGCTTCAATTGGAAAAAAAATCAACACCTGATTATATTCAATTAAGATAAATTTAAATAATTTGTTTGAATTTTAAAATTTAAATTTCAAATTCAGGTGAGCTCGTGCTTAGCCCGTGTTCAGCCCGAGTCCAACCTGAATCGAATTCGAGTCGAACCTGGGCTGAGCACGGGTCAGGCCCGCGCACCGCTAATAAAAAAAAGTGCATCGATATCCGTGTTAGTTTCTCGCGCGCGAAACCATAACGATATGGGTGTCCTTCCTAGCTAAAGTCGTGTGATCCATTTTGTTATCTGGGGTCATTGTATGACGACTTCAAATCCAAGTTGAATATGATTGATATCTATGCTTCAACTTAAAGGGAAGTATTTATAAGTCAATAATCTTAATTAAAATATTTAATAATATTTCATTCGACTGAGCTTAAACCAACCATTACAAAAATAAATCTAAACTTTCCATAAAAGCATAATTGATCTGAAATATATCTTTTAAGTCAGGGGTCAACATAGCTAAATTCATCTCGTGATCACCATGTACAAGATCACTCCTCGATCGCAGTAACCATTTGTTATCAGCTCGAGTCCCACCACACACTTGCTCTCCATCTCGCCTACTTAAGCTCGCTCTTATAGCTCATGCTCAAATCGCGCACCAAAACCTGTACAAAACCCACGAGCATCACTCTTACACTGTTAGGCCGAAATCTTTGAGTGCTCTCTCGATCACATCTGCCCTTTATCTCCTTTCTTGCAATAATATTGGTTTGTCCTTTTATTTTGGTTGCTTGTTATCCAGTCGTTGATCTCATGTTGCTAGATATATGCTCTAGCTCTGGCTCTACCGCCAATATGGACTTAATTTTTTCGCTCGCTCTCTCCTTATATTGCACTGTCGTCTCTCCTTGCTTGCTCCGACTCCTCCCCCTTTGTCTCCCCTCTTCAGCTAATAGAACTGACTCCTTGTCTTTGTCAAACTAGCTTCGAGGGTATTGCCTCATTCCATAGAGGTGCTTTCGCAGTTGATACACTTGTCTCCTGCAAGAACTGGAGCCAAAGCCTAGAGGTAGGAACATGTACGCCTCCTCTGTGAGATCGCCTTTAAGGAAGAAATTCTTTACATCCAGTTGGAGTAAGGGCTAATCCAAATTCACAGCAAGAGATACCATGACCCGAATGGCTTTGGCAAGTTCACGTGGGTGACAGTTGTGCTCACAGATAATGATCTACCAGCCTTGGAATCTCTAAAAGCCATCCTCGCCATATCCTTTGAAATGAAGGAATTGGGATCTTCGATACTTCTTAAGCATGGAAGTTGCCAGATATACTCAAGGCATTTGTCTTTCTCAATACAAATATGTGATGAGTCTATTGATAGAGACCAACCTACTTTGCAAACCAATGGCTATTCCAATCGACCTTAATGAGAAATTGGTTGATGTTCCCAATACTGTTCCTGTGAACAAGACAAACTACTAACGCCTTATGGGAAAACTCATTTCTCGCCAATACGCGTCTCGATATTTGTCACATGGTAGGTATTGAAAGTCAGTCCATGCATGACCCTTATGAGTACCATCTCACAGTTGTCTATCAGATTTTTCACTACTTAAAAGACAGCAGGCTTAAGCTTTGTTGTTCTCGTGCCATATCTCTTGTTCTATTGCATTTTATACTGATGTTGATTGAGTCGGGCCCGTCCAAGATTGGCGATCTACCTCGAGGTATTACTCATTCGTTTGTCACCAGGAAAGACAAGAAACCGTCGGTGTTTGCCCGAAGCAGTGTAGAAGCCGAGTTTCATTCCATGTCCTTGAGAATCTATGAAGCGCTCTAGTTAAACATTATGCTTCGCGAATTACATATGTTGGTCTCTGCTCCTCTACAATTGTTTTGTGATAATTAAGCTGCAATTAGCATTGCTCGTAATCCGATCCAGCAAGATCGCACCAAGCACGTCGAGGTTGGCCGTCACTTAGTCAAAGATAAGCTCGATTCCGGAGAGATTTGTGTTTTAGTGATCTCATCCAATGGTCAAATCGCAGATATCCTCACAAAAAACCTTCTTCTGTTGTTGTATGACGACTTCAAATCCAAGTTGAATATGATTGACATCTATGCTTCAACTTGAGGGGGATTATTTATAAGTCAATAATCTTAATTAAAATATTTAACAATTTTTCATCTGATTGAGCTTAAACCTACCATTACAAATAAATCTAAACTTTCAATAAAAGCATAATTGATCTGAAATATATCTTTTTAAGTCACGGGTCAGCATAGCTAAATTCATCTCGTGATCACCATGTACAGGATCACTCCTCGATCGCAGTAGCCATTCGTTATCAACTCGAGTCCCACCGCACACTTGCTCTCTCGCTCTTATAGATCATGCTCGAATCGCCCACCAAAACCTGTACAAAGCACACGAGCATCGCTCTTGCACTGCTAGGTCAAAATCTTTGTGTGCTCTCTCGATCACATCTACCCTTTATCTCCCTTCTTGCAATAATATTGGTCTATTCTTTTATTTTGGTTACTTGTTATCTAGTCGTTGATCTGATGTTGCTAGGTATATGCTCTAGCTCTCGCTTGACCGCCAATATGGTCTTAATCTTTCGCCCTCTCTCTCCTTATATTGCACTATCGTCTCCCCCTGCTTGCTCCGACTCCTCCCCCTTTGTCTCCCCTCTTCAGCTAATAGAACTGACTCCTTGTGTTTGTCTCCTGCTGCTCGTTTCATTTTTCTCGTTGCTTCATCTCCACTTTCTTCGCTCTCTAATAATATGGAACCAACATTAATCAGATTCAAATTTCTGAGGCAACTTAGTGCAAAATAAAACCACCTTGGCATAATTACTGGTCAAACCACTTATTAAACATCTAAAGCGGTGTTTGAAATGAAGCCAAGTAAATCAAATTAAATAAACTAAGGGATTTTTTTTATTTTATTTTATAAATCACATTCCTTGATATGAGCAAGCATTTTCATATATTGTTTGGCAGAATTCTCAACATATAAGCAGAATATACCCGAATTTAAATAATTTCATGTCAAACTTAAGACAAATTTTCTCCAAGTTTCTCTTTACAAAAAGAGCAATAATGAGAACAAAGAAAAGAATTTATTAGAAAGCAACGGAAGATCTCCTAGTCTCTTTTTACAAAAAGAGCAATAATGGGAACAAAGAAAAGAATTAATAAAAAAACAAGAGAAGATCAATATATTGCTGGCAAAATTCTGTACACAAAAACCAAAATAAAAATAAGGATCTTTTTTGTCATAATGGAGTGTTGCCCACAGCCATTCTTTGATGTAAAGTTTTTTGCATTAGATGCAGATTTTTATGGAGTAGTCCATGTTAAGGCTTTGTTGTTGTTTGTTAGTCTCCATGTTAAGTTGTTTGCACTGCATGCGAGTTTGTATGGATGTTGCTTATCCAGAATTTCCAGCTTTTCAAACTACAAATGAGCTAGAATGAAAATTTAAAGAAAAAAAATTATACCTAATATTTTTTCTATATAATGCAACTGAATTAGATCAAAATTAGACATCTTAAAGGACAGGTAATCTCGCACAGTGTTTAGAAATGGTACTTATTTGCTACTTACATAGACCTGACTTACTTGAGAAGAACGATATGCATAAAGTTGTTAAGAAACGTGAGAAGTTGGCATTTACAACTAAAAACAAATGTGAGAAGTTGACATTTACAACTAAAATTACACTTCGAAAGGCACTATACAGTCAATAATCTCAAAACTTCAAGGAAAAAGCCTGGAAAAAGCTCAGCAAAATTTGAAGAATAAGGACTTATAAAAGATAATAGTTGCTAAAACACAACGTAATTTAGTGATAAGAGAAAATACGTTTCGAGCATACGGAAAACCTAGCTGCTCACCCTCCTCATGTTAGATTTCTGAAAACCAGATCTTCTGAAAGATTCGTATCGACTCATTTGCTCTGGGGAAAATTGAGCTAAAATTGCCCTGAAAAAAGGAGAGAGAAGAAAAAAACTTTCTCAAACAGAACTTATAAGAAAACCCTGAAATAATTACAAAAACCTATTGAAAATTGGCATCTTCAAATTTATATTAAATCCACCAAAAATACCAAGAAAAAATTATCAACACTTTGAAAAGTTAAGTAAGCTCTTATCAAGAAAAGAATGCAACTCAATTAGTGCCATTTCATTTTAATTCAATAAATATCATTTCATTGCTGTTCCCAAACCTGAGTAAGCAAGTTTGAAGATTGATGTTAGGCTATCAAGTAATAGTAAACTTGTTTTAGCATTTATGAAATTAACACAATTTTGAAATTTGCTAGGAAGTTCTTGACAAGAGATGTGCTACAACCTAACTACATTTTGGCAAAAAGTGGGTACGCATTTGCAGAGATGTTGAAAGCAACTAATACTACAGCCATCTTCATATCGGTGAAAATTGGGCATGTGTTGATTAGTACACTACAACTTCAAATGTTTGTAATTAAATGTGGGCAATTGTTAATTAGGTATATAATTAAGATTAAATTCTCTACATGAAATTTAAAGAAATTGGAAGGAAAAATGATAAAAGTGGGCACAATGATTCAAAGAAGAATCAATATAAATCTTGTAAAATAAAAGAGAATGAGAAAAATCTAGGGCCATATGGAAATACTATAAGCTATTCAACGTTGTAGGGATTAAAAAAATAATATCATAGGTATAATAATAGATAGAGAGTTGAACGATAAAATCATTGAGGCAAATAAGCTCAGTGATAGGGTGACCGTTGTTAAGGTACATAAAAATGAGGGTATTATAAATGTGTTTAATTCATAAACTCTTCACATTGAGGTTAGAAGATAACTTAGTAAATTAATTTTGAAAAGATTAATGAGTTGCTACAATATAAACTTGAGGAAGAGGTGAAGTGACTTAAATGGTTATATAGGTTTTAGCAGAATGGGATATAAGAGGATTCGTGCTAGTAATGAAATAAGAGATAAATATACTATTGAAGCTATACTTGGTGACAGGATAGAAATGACTTTAAAATAGTTAAAAAAAATTTAAGAAATAAGAAAAGCTCTTAGTTACTTAAAAAAGTGGAGCCATAATAAAGTAAGAAACATCTTTTACTTTAAGAAAAAAAATCCTTTTGCAACTATTATTAAGGTGATTCCACGAGAAAGTTTATCAGCACAATACAAAGTAATACTTATGGATATATATCTTAGGAATATAAATAAAACAACCAAAATCAATAATTGACATCAGATAAAAAAGAAAGAAAGGCAAATTTTTAAAAATGCGAAATGAACCTAATAGTAAATTATATTATAGATTAATCTAAATAAGTGTAGTGAATTTAGCTCTAAAGATGATACAAAAGATAAAATGTTGAGTCGACATGAGATATCTACAGAGATTCAAGAGCTGGGATGATAATAGAGTACTTTTGTTACAAACCTTTTCAATAAAATCATGAGACTAAGATGAAGCCAAAAGATAAAATAAAAATTACTTTGGTATAAATATTTAAAAACAAGGAAGATAATTGGAGTTATGGTATTTATATAAAAAATCAAAATAATGAGTTATACAATGAAATGTTGAAATAGAATAATGGAACAAATATAATAATAAAAAAAAACTGCATAGGTATCATAGAAGTAATATAGTTTTATATAAGGAAGATCTACAACTACATGAAGTCTTTGGCAAAAAAAATGTGAAAAATAAATATAAAGCAAAATAAAATCACCATACAGCCTTCCTTGATCATGAGAAAGCATAAAATCATGTATCTTGAGAATTAATTTGTTGTGCATTATAAAATTTGTGTGTCAAATGTATGTGAAATTATCAAGTATATGTATAATGAATCATTGACTAGTATTAAAAGCAATTAAAGAGCGACCAAAAAGATTCCTAACCCTAATAGGCCTACATCAAGAATCAATATTAAATCCATATATTCTTATATTGGTCATGGAGATGCTTAGGGAAAATATACAAAGGTATTTTGGTGCTTGTTTTTATTGCAGATAGCATAGCTCTAATCGGTAAGAGCTCCGTCAAAATAATGAATCATTTGAACATAATAAAAAACGTTTTGTAATTAAAGGGACTAGTATTATTAGAACTAAGGCCTAGAAAATGATACAATTTTAGGTATGATGTTAAAACTGTCAACTAATCTTTTTACAAAATAAATTAATATGTAAGTGTGACAAATTTAAATAATTTGAATCTATATTACAGAAAAATAGAATTTATACGCAGATATATCTTGTAAAATTAAGAATGGGTCAATGAAATAGAAAAGTATCTAAGAATATATTATGATAAAAGGATATCATGAGAATTTAAAGGAAAACTTTCTAAGAGTATAATTAAGTTTGATATATCATATCAAGCTAAATATTGAGAAACAGAAAAATTTAATAAACAAGGTAAGCATACTATAAATGATAATATAATTCTGAATAAGGAATTAAGAAAAGATTATTTTATATGGATGGTTAAAGAAGCATCCATTGAAGATAAGATAGATTGCTCAGAGCATAATTGGGGTAATTTAGGCATGTATAATGAACATCCATTGAAGATAAGATAGATTGCTCCGAGCATAATTGGGGTAATTTAGGCATGTATAATGAAGGGTATTAGATTCATTAATAAGGAGAGCACACAAAGTAAAATGTCAAACAAATAGAAAAAAATCAAACGTAACATGAATATAATTATGCAAAATAAGTGCAGTACTTACTAAAGATTGGTGAAGAATGATGATTCATAAATCTAACTCTGATTAATGTGTGGGATGTGGCTAATGATGATGATATAAACATATAAATTAGGATAAAAGAAAAAGGAAGAAACAAATCTACATTAATGCTATGAGCACTTACTTTTATAAGTCAAATGTAAGATTTCTAAATCCTCACGAGTTTCAAAATAAGTATTTAACGTGTATTGCAAATGATGCGTTAAATAGAAATATGCAGCAGTCGATTACTAAGAGTTAAGAAAAAAATTCTTGAAAATAAGGTTAAAGATTGTGCGATAAATTAATACAAGAAGCCGCAATATATATATTTTTTTAAAAAGCCCAAGGTAATTATATTAAAGAGAAAAGGGTACCGATTGGTTGTATGAGTGGACCCAAATAGACACCCAACACATACGGTACAACACACACAAAAAGAAAAAAAGGAAAATTAAAACCCAAAAGAAAATGGTACATAAAAGATCAACCAGGTCGACCCACTTTAGTTCTGCCTCTGCCTCTAGTTCTCGAAAAGGAACCAACTAATAGATTGGTGAGGTGGGTACTATTGCCCAAAGTAACCAGAGTATCATCCATTAGATTTCTCAGCTCAAGTAGATCTTCATTCTCCTTCTTCCTCATGGAAGTGTAGACCTGTCATTCCTCATCCGAAGATTGTTGCTCATCGGATGAGGTGATAGTGTTGCAGTAGAAAGATTGCCAACAGTTATGCCCACAAGTGTATGTGAAGTAAGAGTTGTCGCCTCTACCGCTGCTACTTTCTGGAGAGCTGCAAGGATCTCTTGATTCTCAGTCCGTGTAGGTAATTGTCCATTATTATTTTCAATAGGGTTTAAAAGTGTAGGTTGCCGCTGCTACTTCCTGGAGAGCTGCAAGGATCTCCTGATTCTCAGTCCGTGTAGGTAATGGTCCATTATTATTTTCAATAGGGTTTAAAAGTGTAGGTTGCTCAGCAGGGCCATCCAGCTTCTCATCGATCGCAGAAACAATATTTTCAAGGGGAGGGTCCATAAGAGCAATAGAATCAGACTCCAAATTCTATCCTGTGGTAGTTTTCTCTCAAAATGGAACAAATATATCCTTAGATCCATCTTATTCACTTGATCTTTAGATTTCAAATTAGGATGAAGCTTCTGGCGTTTATCAAGTGTATGCCCAAATATCTTACAATGAGAACAATAAGGAGTTATATGCTCCATGATGATTTGTTGTCAATATTCATTATGCATTGTGCCCAATCAGACTTCAGTAACATTATGCAACATAATATTTCTTTCTACAAGTATTCTGGCCACAAAATGTTTGGTAAGGTTGAAAGTGGGTAGATCTAGTTTCATAGGGTCTCTAAGTATGACATCAATAAAGTAAAAAAACTAATGATGAAAAAAGTACAGCTTGAGACCAGGTAGACTAAACCATACCGGTACAGTAGGCGGTTCATGATTGGGGTCAAAATCAGGAGATCACTTAAGTAGTTTCATTGATTTACCAGCAATATTAATATATTTTTTTGGAGAAGATCCGAGTGTAGTCTTCAGGTGGGTATCCCCACTGAAATTTTCCGATGAAAGCAAACTTGAATTTGGCAGTAAGGGTTGAAATTTCTGACTCAGAGCAAAAAAAGTGTTGTTTTATCATTTTTCCTGTTTGTATTCTTAATAAAGGGACAGTCACCTGTACTATCACAATTCTCCTTATAACTTTGTAGTCTTCAGGTGGGTATCCCCACTGAAATTTTTCGATGAAAGCAAACTTGAATTTGTCAGTAAGGGTTGAAATTTCTGACTCAGAGCAAAAAAAGTGTTATTTTATCATTTTTCCTGCTTGTATTCTTAATAAAGGGGCAGCCACCTGTACCATCACAATTCTCCTTATAACTTGAAGTGAAGACAACTGTCATCTCCCCCTGAGAATTACCCACAACGTGGGCATTTTATCATTTTTCCTGCTTGTATTCTTAATAAAGGGGCAGCCACCTGTACCATCACAATTCTCCTTATAACTTGAAGTGAAGACAACTGTCATCTCCCCCTGAGGATTACCCACAATGTGGGCAAATGAGGTTTTGCTAGGTTCAACCGAAGGAGAAAGCTCCATCACAGCAGTAAGAAAGCCCAGCAATTGGTCGGGGCGAAGCAGTGCAACAAAAGAAGGCAGGAACCGCAGACCGCAGATGACGGATGCAAAGAACTCGCAGCTCGACAGAGTCCAAACCGAAGCCGCGCAAACTACAGCGCGAAGGAGGAGACAACTCCACAGAAGCGAAGACGCCTAGGCAGGAAGACGCCGCAGAAGAAAAAAGACGGCGCAAAAGCAGAAAAGAACCACAGTACGAAAGAGAATACGACGATCGCAAAGGAGCAGAAAGTCCTTCATCATCGTCGAGTACGAGAACAGCGTCGTCGAGCATGAGAGGATGGATTAATCATTGAATTTTCTTTTGGCAAAATGTCTGATACCATTCTATGGCTCCTAGAAGGTATTTGGGAAGTGGATTTCACATAAAGGTAGTTGTGGAATAGAAAGAGAATGCTAATATGTAGGGTTTACGATATTTAAAAGGGATTACATGATAAAGCTGTTGTTGCACAGCAAGTACAACATCATAGGCGGCTGTCAGGGATGCAAATAACAGAGATAACTCTAAATCGATAGCGTTCGTGGGGCGAGGAAATTTCATACAGATACACCACTTGCAAAAGAAAGAGGATGCAACACTACAGAGAGCGAAATTTAGAGAAACATCTCTCAAATACATAAATTCAACAAATTGAAAATCCAAACAGCCCTACTACAACACATAAAATTTCCGAATAGAAAATACCTAATCGGAAAATAGGAAATAGGAAAGAACCTAAATGAAAATAAATAAAAGGCAAAACTTTCATAAAATAGCTAAATAAATAAAAAATACGTCCAACTCGGATTCATTCTATCGCTAAAGCCACGAGTAGCAAGAACGAAAGTTGCACAAGCCGTGTATTGTGGAAGTTCGACATCGGGGAGGTAGATTTGCGAAACTTCCGTGGATTCGGAGGACTCTGCGAAATCTTGCAGAACGAGAGAAAGACAAGATGCTCTCGTATCAACGTCGCATTATAGATAAGCTTAATTTCTCTATATGAACCTTTTTTGTAATGGAATGAAAAACAAAAAGACAACTATCACATGGCTTTAAACACGCTTCCTTCCAAAAGCAAGTGAAGCCCATAACTGCTAGAACAATCAGCGGTCCTTATGTGAAATATCAATTGGATAGATAATTCAAACAAGCATAATAAGTCCATCACACCATTCTTCAAGATGAACAAAAAAAATAAAAAAATAACGATGAAAGCTCCTTCAAGTGGTAGATAGCCACAACTCATATGCAAATACGCATGGTGTGATAGTAACTTTAACATGGTACCACAATTATTTTGAAATTCAAATAGGGACCTTTTATAGGTTAGTATTTAATGCTAGTGCAAATAAATATAATAGAGAAATAAAGTGATATTAGTGTATAATTGGTTATTATGAGTCCTAGAAGGTCTTAAAGCTCTATACATACTTCCTCTTCGGGGGTATTATGCAATCAAATGAAATGAACCAAGGGGAAGACTTGGGTTGTCTCAAGTTTCTAGAGGCAATGGTGTTGCCTGTAGGTTATAAATGTTTTCATGAAAAGTGCTTCAGCAACAAAATCTGGAAGAAAATGTGGTTGTGGAACGGCATCAATAGCTCTCATTTATAGGCAACAATGCCAATTCATTCCAAAATTAGGAAGGGTTCATAAGAACAATAAGTGAGTTTGAAAGTGTTTATTCCTTGCTAAACTTTGTCAATAAAGTTTCAATTTAACTAATACTAACTCACCAACCTCAAACTCCAAGTCTCTACACTTCTTATTTGCTTAGTATTTCATGCAATATCTTGTGCAGTTTAAAATTTCCTTGATGTAACAAAGATCATCGCCTCATTGTTACAAATTTTACTTGATGTAACAAAGATCATTCGCTTGTCGTTATAAAAGTTATCCAATGAGTCCAGCATAGATGTGTTGTCAATATATGGTTAAATTGGTGACTGGAGTCAGCTATAAAGTGCTTGAAATGGAGAAATATAGATCAAGGTGTTGAAGGCCTTATAAAGGAATCGCACCCATGGTATGAATTATGTCCACTACTTAGGGTCCATTACAAAACAACACAGATATTCTTTGAGACAATATGATTCCCCATTCGCCCCACCCATGCCATCAACAGTTTTTGAAAAGAATTTTGGTGGAACAGTTATATTGCCTGTAAGAAGGGGTGCCACCGTATGTGTTGGCAAAAAAATAAGAGGATTGGTTGTTACCTCCATCTCCACCGTGAGAGGAAGTATGGTTAGATGGTCGCCCACCTCTTATAATTTTGTCTTTATTTTTACCTACCTTTCAAGATCTAAAAAATTTTGCATGGACCATGCTTGAATGCCATTGTATTTGATGCACCATTGAGGACAAGTTGGTTTTAAAAAGAGTCAGCAATGATAGGAACTATAATAGACAGTTTTTAGTATTTAACTCCAGCTCCAACAATTGCAATCGGTAGCTAAAGTAATGTTGATGTCGAATAGGGTACTAATGATCCCTCTAGGGCGTAGTATGCAATCAAATAAAATGAACTAAGCGCCTTTGCCACTAGATTCTGCTTCTCCCTCCTCAATTTCCCATTTAATGCAGTTCCCAAGAAACCAAAATTGCTGTCCTTCCACTTGTTCAACAGGTGCGCATCAGATTCCTTGTATGTTTTCCATCCTACCAGTTAAACCTAAAATTGCTTTCCTCATACAAGCCTTCATGTTTAAAAGTTTATGCTTTTGGAATTAGAATAAGATTGCAAGAAAATTCATGTTTGTGGCATAGCATGCAATTCCTTCAGAGAATTTACAAAAAGCAAATAAAATGAAATAAGTAGGTATAAAGAAAAGTGTATAGCTTACTGCATTTTTGCGATCTTGTCGGGATCACCCGTGGAGGGAAATTTTCTCAGCTCAACGTCCATGTTTTCCTCCTCCTCCTCTTCTTCATCCTCCTTTCCTTTCCCCCCTATCGCGTTAGAAGCATTAGCCGCAGTTGAGGGATCAGCGGCCAACTGCTGTGAACGCGTTAGAAACGTTGGCCGCAGTTGAGGGATCAGCGGCCAACTGCTGTGAACCGGGACCGGGGGCACCCTCCTCATCTTCACCTTCCACCACAGGAGCTTCCTCCTCCGGCAGAGGCAGAGGAGATGCCGGCGGTGAATCCTGCTCCTCGTAAGCGGCCTCGAATGGGTCCTTCATTTTCTTTTAAATCCAAAAACTGCTCGGTGGGACGTTTTGCATCCTGCCAAAAGGTAGAAAAATCATTTTAGATTCTACAATTTTATATAGCCAGAACTCCTCTTCTATTCACACGCTGCAATCCGTCAATGGCTTGGCCAGCGAGCTCCCGTCGCAACTTACCCTCTTCTTTCTCTCTTCTTTGACGGACACTGGAAGGAACTGAACCAGAAGGGAAAACGAGGGCTTTCGATTTCAAGTACGTTGCAGCAAGCAAGGTTATGAACGGTATTTATAATTTATTATATGGGAAGAGTTTGTAATCTTATGATATTATTATGCAATTACTAATATTTAATTAAAAAATATGTCAGTTAAAAGGAGCCATTAGAGTGGAGTTTGGTAAATTTTGGGATTGGATAAATCCTAGAATAAGGTCAATTTGCACTAAATTTTGGATTTAGTAATCTCACAATTGGACAGATTTAAGAGGATTTAGGGAAGTAAAAGAAAGTCATGTACATTCTTGTTGCACTTCGACATTCTTGTTGCACTTCGTGTCTCATTCACCAAGCCTCTAAAATTTCTTCACAAATGTTACTGGACAGCCTTCATCCTCCACTCCTGTCACCTTCGGTCAGGGATTTCCATCCTCCACTGCTGTTAAGTTCGATGTCCTCTATATGTGTTCATCATTGCAACTACAAGCAAACGAGTTGAATTTTTATTTCAATTTGATTCTTTTCTTAATGTTGCGAGTTTTTTTTAAGTCTTTTTGAAGGTTGATCTTCATTGGCAAATGTGTTGTGTTGGTCCAAGATCACATACCAAGCTAATGTTGTATTTTTTTGGGTGATTATTTTACCATTTCAAGCCTAAAGAAGAGGAAAAGGTTTTTGTTATATTCATGATATTCTCAATTATGATTCCATGTATCTGTTATATTGTATCACTAACCATGTTATTCCCTTGACATCATTTCATTTAAGTTATTTTTAATGATGCATCTTTGTTTGATATAGTTGTGGGCAAATGGATGTGCCAAGTCTTGCTTGTGAATGTCATTCTGTGAAAGACTGTTTCTTTGTTTGCCTAGTTTTTTCTGCAGCAACATTTAATTTCATAGTTTTCAACCTACACAACATGTTTTTGTACTAAAACTTGGAATTTTGTTTGTTTGTATAGTATTTTATCATTCTTCATGATTGTTTTTTTCATAAATGTTATACAGTGAGTCGATTGCTAGCACTGTGATTTCGTTCATTTGAAAAGTAATCATGCCACACTTCTCGAATACCATAATTATTATGTAATGTCCTCTATTTTTATAACAGATAAAAGCTTCTTGAAGGTGTCATATACAAAAAAATAGGAGTAAGGATCTATTTGATAAGACATATTTAAAATTTATAAAAATCTTATTCAGATACTCAAATTTTACATATTTTACCAAAATATATACATAGTGGTTCGATTGACTTGTAAGCAATCACTAATTTAAGTTGTTTTACTTAGAAATAAGATATCTTGACCCATATGACAATACTTGAAGATTATTGATTCAAAACATCAATTATAAAGTAAATTCCTTTGGTGCGGGCAGGAAACAATCATATGACCTTAACATTAACTCACATGATCTTTACTAATTAAACTAGTTAGTGCCTACATTAAATTTAGGGTAATTTACATACATATAGCGGTGTAAACGAGCCAAAGTGTTCGGCTCGTTTATATTTCGAGCTCAAAAAGTGTGTTCGTGTTCGGCTCCCTTTCTTTAACGGGCCCACACCAGGTGG